TTAAAAGTCAACAAGCAAGTTTGCTTTAAGTTGATCCCATGAATGTATGGATTTTGCTTTTAGCAAAGAGTACCATTGTTGCGCTTGTCCTTTAACTGCCATGACAAGAGATTTTGCCAACGTAGTTTCATCGCCGCCTCCAGAAATTACTGCGGTTTCAAAACTCATCAAAAATTGCCTTGGGTCAGATTAGCCATCGAAAGTTGATATCATGTTAAATTTATACCCCAAAGGCCATTGTGCTAGCTGCAAGTTTGTTGACAGGGGAGAGCTTGTGTCAATTGATATAAATGACTTTTGGGAGTTCTTTTCTTGAGAGGCTTTCGCTGCTGAATTTGGTTCTTCTAAATTTATTACTTTGTGGCTGGCGCTTTGAAGTTTTTCATTCAGTTCACGAAGGGTGGCTTCGGCTTCTTCTATTCTTTGTTTGAGAGACTTTTCTCTTGCTCTCGCGCGACATTCTTCAAGTTCTTTTTTCTTTCTCAGCACTTGTTCTTCTAATTCTTTGAGTCTTTGTTCTTCGGCTTCGCTTGCCTTTGAAGAGCTTGGGTCTTGGGGTGCATCTTTTTCGAGACTTTGGTCTTTGACTGCTGGTGGATCATCTTCGGTTACCCTAGTGGTAATTTTCTTGTTAGGTCTGTTGATTAGCTTTGCGTGGTCGTGGGAGTTTTCGAGCACACACAAACGGTGGACGCCAGATGTTGGGTAAAAAGTTACTCAAGATCAAAGTTTAAACACAAGACAAAGTTATATTCATTTTCATCCTCGTCCTGTACATGTCAGAGGGGGTATTTATAGGGACCTAGTCTTCGTATTTTACACAAAATGACTATTTTACCCCTAACTCAAATATTTACAACCATTTTCAACTACAAGGGCGAAGTGGTCTTTTTCCCTTCTGAATCTTCATTCTCTAACTTTTGGCCGTCAATCTTCTTTGTGTCTTCGTATCTTGGGACTTAGTCAGTTCTTGAGCTGCTTCTTTTGTCTTTGAAATGTGAAGCGAAGTCAAATATTTGTCTTCGCTTGGCTTTGTTTCCTTCTTTTCAGCGAAGATAAGCTCTCTCTAGCGAAGTCAAATTCTCTTTCGCGAAGTTTAAACTTTCATCTTCGCTATGCTTCTTTTCCTGCAAGTAGACTTTGTTACGAAAATTATAATTTCAACTTCAAAGTTTTAGGGGCTGAGTTTTTCTGACGAAGTTAAATCCCCAACACTCTACAAAACGAGGATTCTCAAGGGGTCGCCTTTGCGATGAGTGTACTGTGCTATAAATCTATAAATCTATATTGCTATCAATTAAGTGTTTAAGTCCCTTACAAAGACATGAAAGAATTAGAGAGCTGTCTAGCGTGGAAGGAAGGTTCGGTTACGTGTTGATCAGTAAGGAAAGTGCCCTTGTGTGGTGTTTATATAGGCGCTGATTGACATTGGAAGCACCTCTTTAGTGGCGTTTCACCTATCATGTTCATGCACGGTAGTAGATCAGAGGGATAACACATGAGATAAGGATTTATATCGATTGTGGCACCCTGCCGGCTGGGATCGAACCCTCTCGGGGGCGATTTATGTTGTCCGGAGGAAGAAAATCCCCTCCCCTCGCCTGCTCTGCGTTTTCCAAAGCACAGTCTGCGGACCGGCCCACTCACAAGGTTACGGGCCCCTATGTACGGGCAGGGTATGGGGTTCGGGGTTTTTATCGACATGCGTGAGATGTCTTCTTCTTAAAGCGCAAAGCTCTAGGGCTGTTTAGCCATCCTAGGGTCGAGTTTTTTTTATGATTCAGGTACGGATTATTCTACGGCCAGAGTGTATCATGAGTGTTTATTACTTGAGCACCATATGCTGGCGTGGTCGGTTGCGAATAGAGAATCGCAACTATACGTCATTGCATTGATGATATATTCAAGGTGCTGATAAGGGGCTTCCTTCGTACCTCTCCTTGTATAGTCGGGGATAAAACAGATAGAGTTTCGACCAATTTACGTATAATTTCCTAGTCGAAATAACCTAATAAGTCACACTTCTCTCATTTAAAAAACTTAATAAAAATGCATCCACACCATCAAATTGATTTTATTAATTCTTTCATAAAAATGTCTTAATGCATGTTGTTTATAGATATTTTTTCTAAAAAACGTTTGTTAAAATTACGGTTTTCGAACGCCCTGTTTCCATCCGGACGCATCCAACCATCCACATAGACAAAGCACTCTGCACGCTCGCTCCGCTCACCTCACGTCACTGGCTCCCGCCTGCGCCACGCGCCCTCGCCTGCGCAAATTCGCCCGCTCGCTGTAGTGTATCGACGGCGTCGAGGTGCAGAGCCACGACACCGTCTTCATCGCCAAGTTCTTCGGCCGCACTAGCCTCGTTCTCTTCCTCACCACCGTCCCCGAGCGGTAGCGCCTAGGCCTGCCGCGGCCGACTTCACTATGGCGGGCACCTCCATCCGTCTGCCGTGGCCGACCTCCACCGCGCCGGGCGCCTCGACCGCATCGGGTGACGCCATCTGCTGTCGCGGCCGTCTCCACCGCGTCAGTTCGCCGCGCCGCCCGTTGCGAGCTAAAAAGGCGTGTTGCAAACGTATGTTTTAATTCTTCAGAGGTATGTTGCAAATGTTTCATATGGATGTTGCAAAACTAGATCGGGATGTTGCATATGTTGTAATAGTTTGTACACGTATGTTGCAAGCGTATGTTTTCAATCTTTCAACTGTTTTCAGACGTATGTTGCATGTGTGTTTATCTGGACGTTGCATATATTTCACACATATGTTGCAAGTGTTTTATCTAGATATTGCGTGTGTGTTGCAAATAGTTTTAAGTGTTTTTGCAAGTGTTTTAGACGCATGTTTTAAGTATTTCATTAGTCTTTTTTTTTGTACATTGGAAGCATTGAATATGAATGTTTCAAAAATAGATTGGATGTTAACATATGGAATGTGTGTGGGAATCTAGGAGGGGGCACGAGCAGTACCCGCGCAAACACGCGGCGCAGGCCCTTGTGTGGATGCGTGAAACAGAGGCGCAGAAATGACTGTAGCTGCGGACGTCCGTCTGGACCGTCGAGCGCTAGCAGTGCTGTTAAAATTAACTTAGAACGAACGAAAGAAGAAGGAAGGATTATAATTATAAAACAATGGCTTGCTTGATTCCGGAGTGCTTTGTCGAGATGCGTCATGGGCATATTCTAATGGAATCGTATGAACGTATCCCGTTCCTTTGAAAGCAACCGCACATGAGAAAAGTAGAAAACCAAATCGCCAAACCAAATCACCTGTCGTCCTCCCCACACGATACATACACACATACAGGGCACTGTACACAAGTATGTTCATCTATCCTCGTGACCCAGTCGCTCAAAACCGAACGTCTTAGGAGCACGGGCACGGCCAGCCACGCAACTTTGTTCACCGCTGAACCAAACACGCCCCAAGCCCCATTGTCTGCTTATTAACTGTCCACTCTCACGAGGCAATACAAGCCACACACTCACACGGCCGCGCGAGGGAGGGGAGTTCGGTCGGACAGTCGGGGAGTCAGGAGTTTCAGGAGCGTCTGTCCACGTCCCGCTCCCGCAGCATGGCCAGAAAAAGCGGACGCCTTTGCGAGCGTGCATGAACCGCGCCGCCGCGCACCGGCTGGTGTGGTTTTCCGGGCAATGATTCTTGTCGCTTGCCCATTTTGGCACTGGTGCCCGCGTGTACAAAGACCACGGCCGCGGCCCGGGTGCTCCCAAGCTCCCTGCTGCCGTCGCGTCACTGGAAGAGGGAAGTGAGGTCCGGGGCAAGTTTTCTTTTGATGAGCTGCTCTTGTCGCGTCACTGTGGCGTTCGTTTCTTGTCGAGCTTCCGTTCCCAGGTAGGCAACGTCTTCTTGTTATTATATATATATATACTCCTACGCCACTAATTCCTTGGAATCATCGATGTTCGATATACATTTCACCCCTGTTTTTTGACTTCACTTTTTTTTTTTTTTTGGCTCAAAGCAAATCTTTAAAATCTCATTGTGTGCTGAAAGTGGATTTCTCCCATATAGATAAAAAGTTTTAAGTTTTTTTATTACACCACATCAATTTTTGGACGCATTATGAGGTAAAATTACGTAAAAAAAAAGTAATTAATTGCACTTTTTTTTTGTAAATCACGAGACAATTTTTTTGAGCCTAGTTAGTCCACGATCGACAAAGTTTTATCAAATACAAACTCGTACGCCACTAATTCCTTGGAATCATCGATGTTCGATATAGCGGGTCGATTTCACCCCTGTTATCCGTGTTGACTTCACTTCTTTTGTTTTTTTTGGCTGAAAGCAGAAGGGTGTTTCTTGCACGGAACCCAGCATCTCATTGTGTGCTGAAGTGGATTCTTCTCCCTTGCTTATTTGTTAGATTTCGAGTTCTATGGCTGCAGCCTGCGTCTAGTTCCTTGCGCAGGAGCTCTCCCTTGCTTCCTGAGGAGCACTTCATACTGTGAAGCATCACCCAGGTAGGGGAATTTACATTTTTATGTTTCTTTCTTGTGAGTTATTGGCCTGTCAAAAAATTGGAGATGCCCTTTCTCCTTTTACCCATCACTTTCCCTCTTTTCGGCGAGCTCCACATTTCTTCCTCTGTCACTGGCTCAGTTCTGTGTTGTCCTTCTGGCTGGAGCAGGAGGAGCCGAGGTGTGGTGAGATTTTTTTTTCTTCTTCTTCCCTCTGATGAAATTTCTCCGTTCCACTCAGAAATAAGGTCCATGAATTCTTCATAAAGTTATTTTCTTGCTCCATGGATTGCTTGCTCTCATCCTTCGAAGATCCCACTCGTGTTCATAAACTCGCCTTTGCCAGTAGAACTCACTGACACCGTACTCTTGTTCACCCACGGCCAACGGGCCAAGAACTCACTGGCATGCGAGGCTTCCTCTTTTAATTTCACCAACACCCTCCTCCACCGTACCCGCATCCGAATCTCAATCCCCACGGGCACGAATCTGACGCTGCAAAAATCTTTCCGCCATGAAGCAGGAGCGGCGGAGGCGGCAACACCAACAGCAACACCGGCACCACAGGCCACCGCCGCCGCGCCTCGAGCTGGCGATGGCGCACGCGCGGGACAGCGGGGGCCACGGCCACGAGCACCAGGACGAAGCGGAGGCGGCCGTCTGCCTGGACGGCGACTCCGAGGCGGGCGAAGCGCGCGGCGCGGGGCGCGTGCCGCCGTGGCGGGACCAGCTGACGGCGCGCGGGATGGTGGCGAGCCTCGCCGTCGGCGCCATGTACAGCGTGATCGTCATGAAGCTGGCCCTCACCACGGGGCTCGTCCCCACGCTCAACGTCTCCGCCGCGCTCATCGCCTTCGTCGTCCTCCGCGGGTGGACGCAGGCGCTCGCCCGCTTTGGCGTCGCCACGCGCCCGTTCACCCGCCAGGAGAACACCGTCGTCCAGACCTGCGCCGTCGCATGCTACAGCATCGCCACTGGAGGTAAGAGACGTGCGGAGTTTTGTGATTGAATCTTCCGTTCTTGTCTGTGGTGACTGGTGACCTTGGATTGATGATGTTGCCGCAGGTGGGTTTGGCTCCTTCTTGCTTGGGCTGAACAAGAGGACCTACGAGATGGCCGGCGAGGAGACGGAAGGTAACGTGCCGGGAAGCTACAAGGAGCCCGGCATTGGCTGGATGACCGGCTTCCTCTTCGCTGTAAGCTTCGTCGGGATTGTTGCGCTGATACCTCTAAGGAAGGTCGGTAAACTGAGCTCTCTTATTTATTCCCAAGAAGTCAAGAACTGCACGACATTACCTTTCTACCTCAATCTTGTTCCGTTCCCCATTATTGCCCGTCAAAATGTTGATCCTCTGGCAAGAAGTAAAATAAGCATTTTTTTTATCGTTCCACCATCCTGCTCTTTTCTTTTAAAAAAAAGTTATCTTTGAGTACAAAACAGAATTAAAGTTCTCAAAAGAAAAGAAAATGATTTCTTGGCTGTATCCTTCCTTGGCGTCATGCACTCATGCGTGAGCCATAACATCTGTCTTGTTATCTTGTGGTTTGTGAACGTCAGCTTATTTCAGGTTTGCACAAGAGTTCCTCTCGGATTACGTATAAAAGGGGAAAAGGGACAAAAATTCTTAGAACTGTAGTTACGGATTACGTATAAGAGAGGGGAAAGGGACAAAAGTTCTTGGGATTATAGTTAGGCACTTTACTTTGGCGCAATGGGTAGTATTTCACCATTTCCACCATTTGATTGATGGTTTCCTTATTGTCGCTACTGGGCACCGTCTGCTGATTGAATTGCGGTGCTACATTATACGGTCAACACGGTCGCAAGGGTCTGCTTCAGTTGTTTAACCAGCTAGGTGATAGCGATGCAAAAAAAAAGTCCAAACCACTCGTGTTTCTCCATACTGAATGCTAGTTTTTTTACTTGTGGATTGAGGTATACATTGCCAAATGGAATGCATATTGTTTAGATAATGGAATAAATAGTAATGCGGCTTCTGTGTCCATAGATGCATAGAGCTGCAATTGTTACATTGTTACAGCCAGACAACCAGTGTTGGCTGAATAAAAGTTAACAAGTAGTACAAGTGCACCGACACATGCATAAGTTGATAAGCTCATGCAAAAAGTCGATAACTGAACATGTGTATTGTGAGCCCTTTAAAAATGGACCCAGTTCCTCTGAGCTTTTACACATGCTATTTCAAGAACTTCTAGAATTTATTAGGTTGTTTGGTGTAAGTGGATGGTGGAAATCTGCTACTGACGTTGTACCATTTCAGATCATGATAATTGACTACAAATTAACTTACCCAAGTGGTACTGCAACAGCTGTGCTTATAAATGGATTCCACACAACTCATGGAGATGCAACAGCAAAGTATGTCGTTCTCTCACATAACTCATCCTGTAGATTCAGACAAAATTTCAATTTATTGAATTGTTTTTGTGTATGTTCACAATAGGCAGCAAGTGAATGGGTTCACAAAATACTTTGCAATCAGCTTCTTTTGGAGCTTCTTCCAGTGGTTTTACTCAGGTGGAGACAATTGTGGGTTTTCACAGTTTCCCACTTTTGGACTTAGAGCTTGGAAACAAACGTAACACAAGTCTTTTGGTTCATTAGCCGTTCAAGTTAGTTCCTGACTAATAAAAATTTCACCTGATGAGATATATGCTTCTTGGATTTCAGCTTTTTCTTCGACTTCAGTCTAACATATGTTGGTGCTGGGATGATTTGCTCCCACCTTGTTAATCTGTCTCTCCTTCTTGGTGCGCTTCTCTCATGGGGAATAATGTGGCCACTGATCAGTGATTTGAAAGGGGATTGGTATCCTGCAGATATGCCAGAGAGCAGTATGAGAAGCCTGCAAGGTTACAAGGTTTGTTAACAGTTCCATTTCGTTAGTGCAAATCTATCAGTCATGTCTTACATACCTTCTCTTATTTTCTAGGCCTTCATCTGCATAGCGCTCATCTTGGGAGACGGTCTATACAATTTTGTTAAGATTGTTGCATTCACTGTTAAGAGTCTGCTTGACAGATCAAGACTGAAGAATGCAAAGAAAGGTGAATAGTCTGACTAACTCCTGTGAATATCTTTTAATTTTTTTTGTGAATATGATCTTATGTGGGTCTCATCCTATTTATAGAGGAAGACATTCCAGTGCTTGATGAAATTCAGCGCAATGAGGTTTTTACAAAAGACAGTATCCCCAATTGGCTAGCCTACTCTGGATATCTTGCACTATCAGTTGTTGCTGTGTTTGCCATTCCCTTGATGTTCCATGAGATGAAATGGTACTATGTTATCATAGCATACTTATTGGCTCCGGCATTGGGTTTCTGCAATGCCTATGGTGCTGGCCTTACTGATATCAACATGGCCTACAATTATGGAAAGGTTGCGCTCTTCATTCTTGCGGCCTGGGCTGGGAAGGACTCTGGTGTTGTTGCTGGCCTAGTGGGCTGTGGTTTGGTGAAATCACTGGTGTCAATATCCGCTGATCTGATGCATGACTTCAAGACTGGACATCTTACATTAACATCACCTAAATCAATGATTACTGCTCAGGCTATTGGCACTGCCATGGGCTGTGTCATTGGACCGCTGACATTTTTTCTGTTCTACAAGGCTTTTGACATTGGCAACCCTGATGGGTACTGGAAGGCACCATATGCTCTAATCTACCGCAATATGGCAATTCTTGGTGTCCAGGGCTTCTCTGCTCTGCCCCGACATTGTTTGCAGCTGTGCTATGGATTCTTCGGATTTGCAGTGGCAGCCAATCTGACGAGGGACCTCTTGCCACCAAAGTATGGCAAATGGGTTCCTCTACCAATGGCAATGGGGGTTCCCTTCCTAGTTGGTGCGAGCTTTGCTATCGACATGTGTGTGGGGAGCTTGATAGTCTTCATCTGGCACATGATTGACAAAAGTAAAGCATATTTAATGGTGCCAGCAGTTGCATCTGGGTTGATATGTGGCGATGGGCTTTGGATCTTCCCTGAATCCTTGCTTGCCTTGGCCAAGATCAGTCCACCATTGTGCATGGCATTCAGGTCTTCACACTAAGAGTAACAAACATACTTGACATCTAAGAACAGCTCCATGCCCAATCGGAGTAGATATTGGCATGCCAAGTTCGTCGGTAATTAGTTGCGCTGTGATACATGCAGGTAGGTAAAGGTGCAGTACCTATCAGGATGTTACCTACATATAATGATGTAATGTGGTGCCCAGTAAAATTTATCATATGCAAGATGATTCATCACATCAGAACAAATCATGGATGGATGCAAGAGCTAATAGTAGCCAAAATTTTGCACCATAGATTGAAATATTAACATGTACCCCAGTACCCCCTATAGTTTTGCAATACTATGGATCCACAAGTCGCAGTATGCAAAGCATCTTCCAAGGCCAGCTGATCCTATTGTTAATTCTCGATTTCCAGCTGCTTTTGGTAAAAGAAAAATGCAGTCAGATATATAAAAGTGGATTCGGCAAGTTTTCAAATGATGCATGACTGTGAATGGTTAGCAAACCATGTATATAAGTTGATGTATGGTTTTGCCATAACCTGATTTAACAAGATGCAATGTAGTAAGAGGCATCTTCGTCAGGCATCTGATAGTCTGATACAATTGTAAAATCGTCTGTTCCATCCTTTTATCATAAACAAAATGCAGTCAGTAATATATCGATATAGATTCTGTGAATCATCAGGTGATGTGTAGCTGTGAATAGCTAGCAAAAGATGCATATATGGTTATGTGTATTAAACAGGTCTCTGTGAAGAAGAAAAACTGTAGCCATTCAACAAACTCGATCCAATGACACATTGTTTACCAAAAAAAAAAATCGTCGCTGAACATTCCACGGTGCATAATCCTGTCGTTATCTCTAGTTCTCTACATCTGATCATTCCTTTTCAGAGAAAAAGTGGGACATTTGGTCCCATCAAAATCAGAAAATTTAGTGAAATCTTCGGAGGATAAGAATCTCAACCTGGCTTTTTCTCAAGGCAAACAAACGGAATGGGCCCTCCAGGTTGTAGACTTGTAGCAGGGGGGGACCCCCAATCCCTCCCATGTTTGGCATGAGTAGCTTGGTTGACTCCATCCATTCCGCCATGATAAGGTTCTTGAAGCAGAAGTAACCCTGTAATTTATTTCCCTGTCAATTTCCAGGGGGCTCAAACTTACATCATCACTAGGCCAAGTAAAGAAAACAGTAAAATAATGGTACTCAGGATATGCCTGATCACTTGGCCAGACGTGAAAGTGCCTTCTGGGCCAAAACTTCTTCGATAAAACAATCTCGAAAGAAGGCAAGGCAAGCGTGATGCTTGCAGCCCACAGATTGTGCCGAAAACAATACAGTAAAGTGATGATCAGTTACAGCTGCCGTTTCTTCTGCTGCCCCCTTGGTGCTTTCCGCGCGCGTCGCGGTCCAGCTGACGCTGGCGCGTGAAAGCCTGAAAGGGATGGGTCGGGCCGTCGGGGGGCATCTCGCGGCGAGAGATGCCAGTGCCAGGACCAGGAGCCCAGAACTTCCCACGCGAACCGCTCGGCGTGGATCGACGCCCATCAGACATTTCGCTGGTGCATTTTGCTGATTGGAGATCGGCATCGTTCGGACTTTGGGACGATCACATTTCGCTGGTGCATTTTGCTGATTGGAGATCGGCATCGTTCGGACTTTGGGACGATCACTGATGTCCTCGCTGATTGGAGTGCTCCCTACTCAAAGACGTCTGAACGGCCTGAGATGCTGCTCGGTTTACTGATGGATGGATGGCGCAGGGTGTCGCGGAATCTTTGGCCCTACTAGGCTACTAGTAGCCTACGGTTCTAGTAGTAGTGATTTTGGTGCCATTGAAGGAGCAATAATACACTTTGTGCAGTCCAGAACTCCACTACCGGTCGAGTTTAACGGTCCAAGGCTGCCTTGATCCAGCAGCCATTGGAAAGGAAATGGGCATCCTATGCTCGGCACCGGACCCGGACCCTGGCGTATTGTCGTCTGCGCTTCTGATTCAGTTTGTCATTTGGTCGGTCGGTCTGCCTCACCGCAAAGGCTCGAGAGCTGCCAATCTGCCATGGGATCGATCATCTTCAAGGGAGGGCCACCAAGCAATGAGGCAAAGCATATTCGCGGGCCAGAACGGAATTCTCGTACATACGAGACCTAAACAAGTGGCTGCCGCTACTTGGAATACGTAAAGGCGGAGAGGGAACCGGGCCGTGCGTGTAAAATTCCTAACAGATTCCATCAGAGCCCTCACCGGCAAAAGTTTCAGAGCATAAAAATTCTTGCCACGGCGCGCGCAAACTGGCATCGTCGTTACTCCGTCGACAGACTGACGATCTAAGCCGAGCAATGATGTCGAATCTTGAGAGTAATTAACTTCCTCTGGTATGGGCAAGGCTAACGATGGGGCGATTGGGCGGTGTCGCCTTCACCGGAAAAGCAAAACGCCTGTGCAATACGCGCGTATGTACCGGCGGCGGATCCAGGAAAAATGGTGCTTCATTTTAAGTCTTTATCAAGTCTCATCTTACCTGCACGATAGAACATTGTCTAAAAATTTATGGTTGTCTAAAAATTTATAGAGGCTCCACTACTGATGTGTACCATCAGTCCACCACACTGAGCCGGAAGAGTCATACTCCTCCTGTATATCCTTTTACTGTTCCAGGAGGTGACCCGGCATCCACTTGGCCCCAAAAGTCCTGTGAGGAGACCAGTATAAAACCTCGTGTCCTCTAAGCATACCATCCGAGCCAGACGCGCAAAACTAGAAATTTACTCGTTGGTGGTAACTCAAAACACCGACAGTTGGCGCGCCAGGTAGGGGCCTTTTGCGCGTCTCGACATTCACACCAGACCTCGGATGGCTAGTCACGGCGTCAGCTGAGTCCCGGGCGCGCACGTGTGCTTCGGGAACCTAGACTTCATCGTTATGGTGGAGGGAGGGTTGGCGTAGGCTCCCGCTGCCATCCAACCTCCCTGCTCCGCCAGCCTCGACGCGATTGCCGAGGCGCTTGAGGAGTTGTAGCTGCACGCGCCGGTGGCCCGCGACATGAACCGGAGGATCTCGAGGACGACGAAGCCCTCCCACACTTCACCCGGGCAAGCCAGAACATCGCTGTTGCGGCGGCCTTGCTCCGGGGGCTTTCGGGGCCCGCGACGCCTCGAGGATTGTCTGGCCTATCGCGAGATTCGCACGCTTCTCGAGCGTGCGGCGGCGCAACAGGCCGAGACCTCGCTATCCCGACGACGCGAGCTCGACGCCAGCCAGCGCGCACCCTCAGAGCGACCCAACATGGACGTGTCTGTCCACTAGGTGCAGCAAGCCGCGTGTCGCAGTCCCGGTGCATGAGCGCCTCGACCACAACCGTGACGCGCGCGACACCCTCGATGCCCGTAGGCGTGCCCGCGGTGATGCGAGGGAGGGGGCTAGCCGCGGCTACCACCCTCGTCGTGGCGGACGCTACGACAGCCTCAAAGGAAAGGCGAAGCGGGACGAGGACACCGGCGAAGACGCCTCCAACCGTCCCCAAGAAGAAGAATAAGCAAGCAGGCGTGAGGGCTCGCTCGTGGCCACCGCCGACCACAAGGGGGGTTGGAAGTCTACCGAGGGCACCCAGGACCACTTCGAGAAGCTGCTCGAAGGGCCATGCCTGAAGCATGCCTTCCCCGTCAAGCATCTGTACAAGAACTACGGCCTCATGAGGCGGTTCTTGTCCGGAGGCTCCAACAAGGGAGAGCATAGGGGGGACCCCAAGCCGGCCGCAGACGACGCCGAGGGAAGGCTAGTGGCTTTCCAATGCTGGACGGTTGCCTCATGATCTTCGGAGGGTCGACGGCCTATGACTCCAAGCGCCGCCAAAAGCTTGCGCGCGAGAGGTCTACGCGGCCGAGCCAGCCGTGCCTACCTTCCTCCGATGGTAGGAGTCCGCCATAACCTTTGATCGGACTGACCACACGGAAAGCGTCCCACAGCCGGGAAGATATCCGCTCGTGGTCGACCCGATCATCGGCACGAAGCGGCTCACTAAGGTGCTAATGGATGGAGGCAGCGGCCTCAACATCATGTACGCTGAAACGCTCGACGCCATGGGCATCGACCAAGCGCGCATCCGGGCGACCGGGGCACCTTTCCACGGCATCGTGCCTAGAAAATAGGTCATGCCACTTGGGCAGATCGATCTGCCCGTCACCTTTGAGGATCCGACCAATTATGGGACGGAGACCCTTACCTTCGAGGTGGTCGGGTTTCACGGAACCTACCACGCCATCCTGGGACGTCCATGCTACGCGAATTTCATGGCCGTCCCAAACTACACCTATCTAAAGTTGAAGATGCTGGGTCCTTGCGGGGTCCTCGAGAAGTGTGTTTTCGGGGTCCCAAACTACACCTAGAGCAGACCTTCACGAAACTCCAAACAAACGACATTAAGCTCAACCCCGAGAAGTGCGTTTTCGAGGTCCCAAGGGATATGTTGTTAGGTTTTATCCTCTCCGAGCGCGGCATCGAAGCCAACCCGGAGAAGATCTTGGCCATCACGAGGATGGGCCCGATTTATAACATAAAGGGGGTATAGCGAGTTATAGGGTGCTTCGCTGCGCTTAGCTGCTTTATCTCGCGCCTCGGTGAATGAGGCATCCCCCTCTATCAGCTCCTGAAGAAGGCCGACCATTTCGAATGGACACCCGAGGCCTAGGAGGCACTTGACACGGTCAAGTAGCTTCTGACGAAGGCCCTGATCCTGTCCCCTCGATCGATGGAGAACCGCTTTTGCTCTATATCACGGGCACCACGCAAGTGGTCAGCGCCGCCCTGGTGGTAGAGCGAGAAGAAGAGGGACACGCCATCAAAGTGTAGTGTCTCGTGTACTTCATTAGCGAGATCTTGTTCGATTCCAAGACCCGCTACCTCCAAATCTAGAAGCTCTTGTACGCCGTCCTCATCGCCAAGAGGAAGTTACGTCACTACTTCGAGTCACATCCAGTGACGTCCTTCCCTCTCGGTGAGGTCATCCAAAACAGGGATGCCACGGGAAGAA